CTTGTATATAAATGTGTGTGATCAGGGATTGATTCATTGATCATCCTGTCGTTCATCAGTGTCAACGAAGCCATCATCATGTCTTCGGCGTCCCCGTGCAGCTCAGCCGAGAACAGGATGTACAAGTCGGCCGAGAGGAGTCGCGTCAGGGCGCGTTTCGCCATCCCAGGTGGAGCGCGTTCAACACTAACAACTGATGATTTAAATAGACAACTACTCAAAACTATACCTTTTCTCCAATTTCGCTTGTATTCTGCTCCTTCACCATCTCTACTTCCTTCCCTCTGTTCCTTCAACCCCTTCTATTTTCTTTGGTTTCACTTCATTTGATTTGATTTCAGCAGCTTTCCTTGTCTAATGTAAATATTTTCTAACCCCTAAAGTACAGGAACAGAATCCTCAGATCCAACAAATCCTACATTCTCCTATCAATTTTCCCTTCATTTTCTATTACCTCATGATTTCTGATACGTTAAACTAGGCCAACAGGTTTCACATGCCACATGAAACATTCCTTCTAATTTCAACGCCTTAAATTTGTCATCTCGATATACCTACAGACTGTCAGTACACCCGAAATGAGGCGCAAAAACATAACACTGAATTCTATTCGGTTTCCTAAAATCAATCAAACAGGAACCAGAAGCATTCCCAAGGAATGGAGCACTTCATCGGCAACATCATCCTTCAGCCGGAACAAATTTCGATTCGCAATTCTCAATAAGCCAACGACAGCTCGCTCCACAATCAGCGGATTACGACCAAAACTGCTCATCAGCCATTGCAAGTGTTGCTTTATAGGTGGCCAAATCAGGGCCAGTCGATCCTTATTTTCCAGCGCTATGCTAACCATCATCTCCAGATAAAGCACCAGCGCATCTTCTTCCTGCAACAAATCCATACACTTAAACCGTACAGAGCACCACTAACGTAGCAGAGAAAAAGAACAAAAATTTCATAGTTTCTATCCCAACCCCAAACCCAATGTATTCGGTCCTGGTTCCGTGGGTGCAGGTGGAGCTCACGGCAAAAACTTTCCCTATCTGGGTTTAAGGCACCTAGGCGGATAGACGCAGTCGCAGGCAGGTGTCTGGCCTCCTTATCCGTCCTATTGTGCCACACGCACTAACATGATGAATAAATTTAACCTTAACTCTGTGTCTATGGGTGCTCCTCGAACCCAAAACCCGAGGCGCTCACGTAACGTGGGTGTAACTAATCTCCTCTCCAACAACCCTTCCCAACAAACCTACAGCCCAAAAAAGAAACGGATGCAAAGCAAAAGATGCAGGACCAAGAGATAAAAATACAGATAACTTATAAGCTAAAACGCTCAAAAATAATTTAAAGAGACAAGCTGCCCAAACTTGCAGTGCACTTGAATGAAACACTCAGAGGCCCCAAAAACTGCAAGGAAATACGAAAGCGGGAACTCCGGTATGCACAAGCGATTTTACATCATATTAAGCCCCTCACCGACCTCATTTCAAAAAATACCGCCTCGGCATAGCATCCAAAAAAAAGCAGGAAAAATGCTTAAAAATATGAAATTAATATCTGTCAGTTGAATACGGAAGCGTTCGTAGCTAACCTGATCTTTGAGCCGGCCCGGTGCTGCTACAGTTCTTTCATTTTCGACATGAGCAAAATTAGTGGAAGCTTGAATGATTGCACTGATCAGCTCCGAAAGTGCCGAGGATGTGAGGTATTTGCCATCGATGATGAGCTGTTCCGTATGGCACTCAGCTATCACTGTTTGCGCAACCTAAAATCAGGAATGAAAAACTGCCGGGCTTAGTGAGATTATCAGGCACGTCCAAACAATAAATGCGAGGGGGATATGATGTTAGAAATTTTAAAGGGATGTTCCCAAACACATAACGAAGAAATGTCGAGCAGTTTGTCGAAAGTATCTCGAATTATATCCACTTTAGTTCGGGACATTCCAAGTTATGCTCAACATGAAATTCGAACGAAATTGGTGCAAGCAATAAAAAGTGAATATGCATATTTAAAAATATGTATGTTTGAAATATGAGTATTCAAATATACTTTTTTTACTTTATTTAAAAAAGAAAATCTTGCTTTGATTAGCTGTTGCTGATCAGCAGTTGGGCCGGTTTCCCGATTATCCGAGCTGGAACTCAATCCAAGCCAACTCAGCAAACCAGAATCATTCCGACTTGTTGATAATTTCCTTTAAATAAGCGAGTTATCACGAAAAGGATAATTCTAAGAAAAAAATTACGGACCTGTCAAATTTGCAAAAGTGAACCCTCAAAGAAATGATATAAATTAACTGCTAAAAGAAAAGCATGTTTGACTGAATTTGAGAAGTCAATTTTTCGTTAAGCAAACTTACGGAGGCCGAAGGCGCTGTATTGAGACCCATCCTTTTGGGTCTACGAAATCTTCTACTTCGGTTATCGCGCCCGGAAGCAAACGAGCAAAAAACAAACGAACAATACAATCAAGTACATTTTTCCAGCCCTGGAAAACCGGACGGTTAAATTTAAGTAATAAAGTTTACCAGGACACTGAAAAGTCGTACGGATGGCGAATTTGCAAAATCTCAACAAAATGCGTAGTTTTGGAAGAAAAGTATGCCACTTTAACTAGAAACGAATGGATACCTAGTAACGGAATCACACAACTTTGACCTAGGAAGTCCCAAATATCATCAAAAAACGTACAAGGGAAAAAAGCTCTCTGTGCCTATTTGTTACTCTTATCTCACATTTTTTCCTGCATCCCTGAACTAATTCCACTCCCTGATACGGTTCATTTTTAAAGCCAGGCGGCACGGACATTACATTATTTTGTTCGTTTTTCTCAAAAAGAAAGAAAAACTAATTGAAAAGCCGAACTGTTTATTAAAATTTATATGGTAGGGTCGTTATTCATTACAAACTGACCCTGATTCCTTTTCTCCCTTCCTAACCTTTTCGCCTTCCTCCACCCATCGGCCCCTTCTGCCCTGTGTAAACATTCCAAAATTAGAGATTAGAAATAAAAATTTTCACAAAGGTAATTAAATTGCTACTTTATACTTTATAAGACTGGAGGGTAAAACAAAAATCAGCCTTTGTTCTGTGAGATTTTGAAGACAAAGAAATTAACTGTTTTGCATAGCTACAGTCAGAAACACCACCTTAAAATCACCTTATAATTACGTCTTACATTACTGCTCCATTTTGTGTTAAACCCAATAAAGGAAGTTTTTTTCTAAAAATTAAAAAAAATCTCTAGAGAGTTAAGAGCAAAAAAAACAAATTTCTTAAAGATCACTTCTCTAAGGATGTCACCATGTGCATGAACCAGCTGAAACATCGCTTTTGCTGCCATCTGTGCTTTTGTATTCTCACCGAAAGCAATTGCAATCTGCTCGGCAGTCTGGCAAAAATCCTCCTGTACAACTCCACCACGTTGCATTTCCAAATTTTGTCCTGTATTTCCTGAAAATTGCAAAATTTCATAACAAAAAGAAAGAAAAAAAAAACAAACAACAGCTAGGTAGAGTTTACGTTTGTGAAAAACGAAACTTAAATGTAAATTAAAGAATTCATTCTGTAGATTATTTGCGAGCAAAACGTTTTAATTTCTCAACTAAGTGTTTCAGAAATTTTAAAGATATCAACAGTGAATATTCTTCGCAAGGAGACTAGCTGAGAATTGAGGTCTGAAATCTTCTATGCGTTAACATATGCAGTTTGTTTGGCATTATTGGCACACCGTGGAAAGGAACACAATCGAATTTGGACAATTAATGAAAAACTGGAAGTGGCATTTAGATCTCTCAAACAATCAAGCCTGTATGTGCAGTGACTTGGAAGCCTGTCTGTGTTTCATCCCTGAGCTGTAAACACAAACCACAGAATAACTGCTTGACATATCGATGAGAAGCTACAATGTAACCGAAATAAGTCCATAGGCCTGCATAACCCTTGAACCATGTATTTTACTGGGAGTGGCAGAAGTACTCAAAAACATCTCGAAATATATGTACTTTCTTCACAAAGCAATCCCTTCCCTCCCCACTTGACTCAGTGGCATAAAAACAAATCAAGTAAAAGGCATTACGGGCCACAACGGCCCTGTGAGGGGACGAAAGAGGGCAGTGACTAGGGCCAGGAGCAACGGATCAACCAATTAAAAAAAAGATATCACAATAGCTTATAAAAATTTCCGCTGAAAAAATTATCATCGAAAAAAATCATCAAAACTCTCAGGTTGTAAAAACAGAAATTAAATTTGAATAAGAAATTATACCTTCAGTAGTAGACATTAAAGTGGAGAATTTGCACAAATGAATCACTAGATTATCGAAGACATCACTCATTCCATAGTGTGCTGCTATCGATGCGCATTTACGATATCCATTTAGCGCTCGCTGGAAGTAATAATTCCTAATAAAGGGACCATGAATGACAAGGATGAGGAGGACCAATAATGATAATTTTACGTAATTACAGGAAAATTGACAACGAATTTTACGATAAAGGTAATGAAGGAACTTCAAAAAGTTTACTAAATCCGAAAAGCAATGCAGAAAGTTGAAGTATTTCAAGTCCGAAGCTACAACCAATACTATGAAACCACAAAATTTTTCTGATATATCCTCCTTATTACTGAAGATATCGGAAGTAACCGTA